GTCTTTATTCGACTATACTCTTTTATACTCGTCTCTACTTGACTATACTCTATTATACTTGTCTAAACTCGACTATACTTTATTATTCTTGTCTTTATTCGACTATACTCTTTTATACTCGTCTCTAGTCGACTATACTCTATAATACTTGTCTAAACTCGACTATACTCTATAATACTTGTCTAAACTCGACTATACTCTATTATACTCGACTATACTTGATTGTATAGACATATAATTTTCAAAATTTGAAAAAGTACTTGATATTAGATATTGTATTTTTTGTTTGAATTAATAATATGTTATTTTGTATATGTATGATGTGAATTAGCATCTTATAAAGTTAGTGAAATGTATTGCAATTATTAGACATTTCATTTATCACAATTATCATGTACCGTAAAGTAAATCGTTCATTGATAACAATTCAATGTTATTCATCATTCTCTTAATGAATACAATTTTAATAATAACAATAAACTCATAATATTTATACATATATTTTATCTGAACTTTGTTATTTTCATATGAAATCATTGTAAATAGTTTAATATTAATAATGACAATGATAATGATTGCTAGTCGTAATATATAATGATGATGATAATAATAATAGTAATAATAGTAATAATAATAATTATAATATAATATTAATAATAAATATAATAGTTCTGTTTTTCTTTTTTTTTTCCTTTTATAATAAAATTGAGTTTAATGTAACATTTAATACTAACAGAAATCTAAATGTTATAAAGATTATTTAAACATCGCTATAAATATATATATAATATATCAATTATTTCAAAACGTTTTCTGATATTTTATAATATTTTATAATATTTCAATAATGCGATGTTTGAATACTGCATAACTTAAATTTCTGACCTGACAATATATTTACGAGGAAACTATCTTTTGACAAAACAATTAAAAATTTTAGAACTTCATTTATAGTCAGTATAAAATAAATAAATAATTATAGAAATTACATTACTTCTTTTACTTTTCTTTTTTACCTCTTTTTTAATCGTTTTTATTATTTATAAGTTAATTCTTATTAAGATAGCGATTGTAAGGTAGCTTTAATTCTTATCTTTCATTTTATATATGCGTTAAAAAATTCATTAATAGCTATACTTTACAAATACTGTAAATAATGAGCAGAAAATACTGAATGTTCAGTATTTATTACTCTCTCCTATATTTTATTCTAGAAGATATAAAATTCTTTTCATCTGTAAATTGTACTTCTGTATAAATATGATTATATGCAGTATACTATAGTAACATAAATATACAGGGTATTCTAATTGCTTTGCATGAAATTTTATCAGTTTCACTTATAAAATATGCTGAAAGAATTAAGACACCCTGTAAACATGTATATATGTATGTATTATAATATGTATATAATATTATATATATATATATAATTTATATATGTATATAATATATATATATATATATATATACATATATAATATAATACATAAATATATATTACACACATATATATATATATATGTATATGTAATATAAGTAATTATGTAAGTAAACTATATAGAAGGTATGTACAAAAAAATAATTTTTCCGATAATTTTAGTTGTATTAAAAACGAAGAAACTAAAATACGCAAATGTTTTTTTTTTTTATCATATCTGTACTATCTAAAATAGTTCTATCTATATAATTTCTTATGCCAAGAATTCTGATGTACAATTTACAATACATATAGCTGAATAAACAATAATTTATAATTATTGTTACGTAATCCGATAAAAAAAGATTGATATGTATTTTAGAAAAATCATTTAAAACTTAATATATTAATATATATGTAATATAATTAATTTTAAATTTGAAATGCTCATTTACAGAGTTACAAATAAAATTCTAATTTAGTTAACAAAAAAGGCTTGTACCTGAATAACTATATATATATATAGCTATTCGTATGTGTCTATCTTTTAATTATTAAATTAAACTAACTTTATCTATGCTGCATTAGATCGGTTTCCGTAACATTAGGAATATTATAAAAGTTATAAGGTAAATTTTGGGGAAAAATATTTTGCATCGCATTGAAATATGCCGAATTTCTTTCTCGAAAAACAGTATCTTGTACTGTGCCGGATACATCTGCTTGAAAAGTTTGTATTGCTGTTGTTGGTATAGCTTGTACGACTATCGGTTGAGGTGCAGTTACGTGTGGTACAGTTTGTATTACCTAATGAAGTAATATATATATATGTGTATAGAAAAATAATTAAAGAATAAATGATTATAATAGTCATTTTTAAAAATAAAATTTCATTGATAATAATATAATTACCTGTACAGTTGTTGATTCTGTTTGCGACATGGAAAGAGGATCTTCTGCTGTATTAGCTTGAATCGAATGTTGTTGTTGTTGCTGCTGTTGTTGTTGTTGTTCCTGTTGTTGCGATTGTTGCTGCTGCGATTGTTGAGACTGTGATAAATGCTTGGTATGAGAAGTATTAATTCCATGTCTACGTTTCATATGTTTATTATAATTCGGCCAATTTGTGAAGTGGTGTTGACATTCTAAACAACTGTATGGTCGCTCACCAGTATGCTGTCGTCTATGTGTCTAAAATATAAAATATATTATATGTTAAAAATAAATATTTTATATTCTATAGATTGTTATATGAAACATCATATATCCTTACCGTTAAAATTCCTTTAAACCGGAAACATTTACCACAGAATTCACAAGTAAAGGGCATTGCACCTGTATGTATCCTATGATGTTCCCTTAAAGTACCTTTTTCTCTAAACGTTCTACCACAAACAGCACATTGATGTGGTTTAGCCCCAGTATGAACTGTTTCATGTTTCTTCAATTGTAAAGGTGTTTTAAATCTATAAAATAATTCATGCATATATTATGAAATAAATATATATATATATATATAATGTGGGATTCGTGAAAAAAATTGGACCGCTGGACTGACTGGACCGGGACTCGAACCACGGATCTTTCGCTTTCCAGGCGACTGCTCTTTTAATCAATTGAGCTATCCAGGGCCCACCGACCAATCCTTCTCACGAATGCCCAATAAGTTTGGCATGGAGGCGCTTGTCCCACATATATGTAATATATTTAATATAATATAAATAAACGTACGCTTTAGGACATTGAGAACAACTATATGGCTTGTCAGCGGAATGAGTTAAGAAGTGAGCTTCTAAATTTCCTTTTTGTACGAAACTTTTACCGCATTGATCGCAAGTAAAATTTCTAACTCCAGAATGTATGCGTTTGTGTGTGACCAAATTAGGTTTAGTAGAAAACCTGTAAATGTATAAAAATATTAATATAATCTAAATGAATATAATACTTTTTCTAATTATCAATAATACCTTTTATCACATTGATCACAAGGGTGACGATTTTTCACAGTATCTGGTAAATGACATTTACTATGAATGTATAAACCATTTTGTTGTCTAAATGCTTTACCACAAGTTTGACAAACAAACGGACGTTCCTCACTGTGCACTGCTCTGTGCGAGTCTAAAACTTTTTTATGTACAAATGATTTCCCACAATCCTCACAACTATATATAGAACAAGAAACATAAAAAGTTAGTCGAATGTTTTAACATAACTGTAAATATATTTGTAAAATTTGTAATATATCAAAATTCTTACTTAAATTTAGCTTTAGTTTTGTGTCTTTTAACGTGGGTAAGAAAACCATAATATTTGTCGTACACTTTGCAGCATTGTACACACATATATTTAGCTTGTTGATTATGTTCAGTTTCATGATGTTCTTCCAATGCTTCTAAACTTGGTAATTTGTCATTACAATCGGTACATAGCCAAGGATATCTATCTAATCCTTCTCCTCTTTTGCGTCCAGGTTTTGGTGGTTCTGCTGCACGAGATTCTATCATTTCCAAGTCAGAATCCGTTCCTACAAATTGAAGAATATCAAAATGTGTATGTGAACAAAATATAATACAAATAAATTCTTACCGGTCATATAATTATCTGGAACTTTAATATTAGATTTAATATTAATATCATTATGTCCTTTCTTTATATCAGAATTTAAACATAATTCCAAGTCATCCATTCTTTGCATTTGACTTTTCTTCTTGACCTTTTTCTTCGTTTGTTTGGGCAAACCTTTTTTAACTTGAATTTTACATTTCTGTTGTTTCATAGACTCATATTTTTCTTGATTGCAATCATTATCGTTATCATTATCATTATCATGATCATGATCATTTTCATTTTCATTATCGTTGTCATTTTCATTTTCATTTTCATTACTAAAATAAGTATTTGTAATATCTACAGCAGTATTATGAATGTAGTTATCTGTTAGTTGACATTCATCGATAGTTTCAACAACCTCTTCTACTTTTGGGAACTCAACAGTTTTCTTAATAAAATCTATATTTGGTTCTAAAGTCGATGGCTCAGACTTGGGCTCTATTAGTAATTGTCTCAATGATGTTTGAGCTTGATTAGTCTTTTCAAAAAATTCGCAGCACTGATTTAATGATACGCAACAGTCTATACAAACTGAGAGCGGTAATTCATCTGTTATTAGTACCTACAATGATACATAACAAGTTAATAAAATCATTATGTTAATGAACAAAAACATTTATGCATCGTTAAACATTCTAATGACTGATATCTTAATAGCATAAATTACATCTTTAAACTTCATTAATATTTTAGCAAAAAATAAATGATTTAAAGAAAAAAAAAGTTAGCAGAACAAAATATAAAAGTATTGAATAAAAAAGAAATTCGTTGTCATTTTTAATTGGTCTCATAATATTATTTATCTTATTTTTACTTATAGAAAATGGTGTGGAAAACTTTTACAAAATAAACTGAGACATCTTGCATATATGAAGCAAGTATACAATATGTAATATAAGAACATTTCAATTTTTAAAGAAGCGTATGAAATTAATTTTTGAATGATTTAAAAAAAAGAAAAAAAGAAAAAATATAAAAATATAAAAAAAAATGAATTGTCAAAACTGTAAGGAAATGAAAATTACCTGAATTTGTAAACACTTAGTGATTTTAGCTTCTATCGCTAATTTTTGTCCTTCGGCGTCATAAATACCGATGAGGTTTTCTTTGGTCTCGGCACAGAGCCGGCAAAGATCCGGCTCCGTCATCATTCAAAGCACGAAAAATCCGAGAACGTTTATGTTATGGCAGTTCATTGTAATTAACACGAGATAATGCAGAAATTTATTCCGATGCAATTAAGTGTTTCGTAGACGTCGTAAACAAAAGATCGGCATAGACGCTAACTCCGACAGCGGACATGTTTTCTTTCTTAAGAGAAAAATATTGTACGTGTGTCTCTCTCACTCTTGCACTAGTTCCATTCACTTGATCCGCCATTAAATGTATTAAAAGCATCTACATTTCGCATTGATCGAATTGTTGATGTTGATCAAAAATGCTAAACTTACTTTTATACTCAGTCATGTTCAAGTATAATGATACGTACTTTGATTCATTTGTTGTTTATAAAAACTATTTTATATTCCCCCTCCCTTCCTATCCTCGGTCACTCGAATTCGAGACATCTGTTGACAATTCTTGAAAATATTGTATTAAAAAATTACAAGATAATACAAATTTCTACTATACCGACTATGATATTATTTAATGAAATTATTAATTGTAAATTTAATATAGTTTTGGTATGGCGTTAACATCGCGTTGATAATAATGAATTGTGATAAGCTTGTCTTGAAACTTATGCTCCACGTTGTTGATGAATAAAAAAATTGAAATCAAAAATGACATTAATATGAGATTATATATATATGTATATATTTCTTGAGATGTATGATTGAAGTTATTGAAAAAAATGTAGTTTTTAATTAAAATCTTATGTACTTGTCATATGTTTGTATATAATTAACATAAATTTATAATTTAATCGAATAAATAAGAGAAAATTGTTTCGAACAAATTAAAATCTATGACATATGAATTATTAAAGTGCCTTTATAATTGATATTCATAAAATTTATATAACACCTTTTAATATAACTGATAACATGGCTGATCCAACGATACAAACATTTTGTTGTCGCCATACGAATAAAACGGATATGGCCATTAAAATAATGGAAGAATTTAATACAGATATTTATAATATAGTATGCATGCTTTCTTCAACAATGGGTATACTTGGAGCTGTTTATCAAGTAATTAGTAATCATTGATTGATATTCTATGTCATTAACACACATACATATTAATTATATAAAATTAAATAATTATATTTATAGGTATTGCCTAGAGAAATGTCTAATCTCCCTCACCGATGGAACAGTTTCTCAGCATCGAGGGGACGTGAGATTATTGTATGGCTCGCTGTTGCTGATTTGTTTGCCTCATTAGGTGTTTTACTTGTTTTTTTATACTCACTATCTCCTTCATTGTAATATATATTTCTATAATATACAGGGTGTCTGTATATGAAAAACTAAGTTGAAAATGTAGAATCTAATTTGTTGAATACGCATATACTTGACTGAATTTACAATTTTGAAAAGAACAATCATTGCTTGCTCGTTTGTACCACCAATTACTGAACATCCTGTATATGTTATGTCTCTCTCTCTCTAGTTATCCATTTTTCTTTTAAATATAGTAATACAGAACTGTTATATCATTTTTATTTTTTAAGGTATATTTATACGTTCTGCGTTATGGATCAATTTTAAATCTATCATGCCGATGGAAGATGATACTTCCAGTGTTGTATTCTGTGCTCTTTCTTCGGTAAAAATTCATTTTCATATTGTATAAGAATATATGTTTACATTATGATTTAAAAAACATATTCATTTTTAGGCATGGACACAATACTTTTACATGGCAACGTGGATTTGGACACTATGCTATACTATCGATATGAAATTGTTACTTAGTGATAGACCTGGTCGTCCTCTTTATTATCACATGTTTGCATGGATTTGTCCTGCCTTATTGACAATTTTTGGTTTGTCAATATTATACATTCCAGATGCGAAGTAAAGTATTAATTTAACATCATCTTTTAGTATATGTAATTTTCTTAGTAATATTAATAAATATTATTTATTTTTCAGCTGTCATAATTTAACGTCATTATCTATCGCCATATTACGTATTTTACCTAATTATTGTGCTACATATGTTTTACTCGCAATCGTTATGATTATAAATCCACTTCTTTACATTGCTTCAACTCGTGATCTCAAAACAGCTGTTACGTGTAGTTTATCACAAATTACTGGACGAGAAAGAAAATTGGTTCAAACGATCAGACTTAAATTTACATTGATTAATATTGTTTATTACGTATGTTGGGTACCAAATTTAATCAATGGTATCTTATTATGGACACTATGGTTTAAATTACCTGTTAAAGCTATTATTACTTTGTGGTACATAATGGTAAGTTGATAAAAGTACAATTAAATTAAACAAATAATAATATATATTATTAAACAAACAAGTGATAATATTTTATTGTGTATTTGGATTAACATGTAGGCTGTGACAAATCCACTTCAAGCATTTTTCAATGCACTGGTTTATCAGAGATGGGGCAGAAGAGAAAAATTTCGATTGGAGTGGTGTCAAAAATTAGGAAGCTTTAGTTTAAATCAAATGTCAAAAGTTAATAAGGGTATTAATTTAACGGAATCATCGCCATTGTTAAATCAATACGCTTATACGCCTCATACGAGTATAAATGGGTCTTCCTCGTTATGAAACAAAACTGTGATACAATTTTCAATGTACTGCCAGAAATGTTGACTAGTTACGATGAAAATATCGTATTGTACATTTTTATACACGGGACGTATTTACAATATCAAGATTAAGTGTGCTTGTACTTATATTTCATTTTAATCTTATCGAACAAATATTAAGGACTAATATAAAACAATGCAATAATACTGCCAGATAATAATTATAATTAAATATGGTAGAATGCATTTATGTATATTAAAAATTATTAATTTAAGATAAATAGATATAGATATATACTATTTTAAAAAAGTATGTATACATGCATATTTTATTAAATATTTTTCGAATTAAATCGAAGAGAAGAGTAATATAACAAATATAATAAATATAAGGAGATTTATCTTATATATTATCTAAGAATATAGTTTGCACATATATATACAATTTTATGCATATATAATTAGTACATTTTTTTGTTTGTACATCTAATAGATTTATATTTTATGTTTATTATTATTATTTTAAAAATATAACTTGATTAATATTGTACGCATTTTGATAATAAAAAATGTTAGTATTCTTTTATTTTTATCCGGAGAAAAAAAAGAAAAGAATGCATTTATATTAGCACCATGTATTTATAAACAAACTTGCTGAAATAATATTCAGAGATTATACATAATTATTGAATATAATAATAATAATAATAAAAATAATAAATATAACAGACACAATAATAATAATATTCTTGTTAATTCAACATATACATCTTTTCTCTTGTCACGCAAAAAGAAATATCTTACATTCATTGAAATAATTAATAAATGTAAGTCCTATAAAAATGTTGTTGTTACGTTTGTTATTTATTACAATATTCTAAAAAAATTAATAATTAGTTGTGTATTAAATATAGTATAAAAAGGAACCAGCAAGCAGCAGTAAATATGTTATATTCGTTAAAATCACAATTTTGATCTATCAGCTTATCATTTACAACAGTACATTATTCAAGTATAGCACATATACTTTTATCAATTTTAATGATTCTTCTTTCTTTTCCTTTTCTTATACATAATGTACAATTTATATATATATATATATGTATACTCGAAAATAAACCTACTATTTAATTCTAATCAACTAATTCTTAATTCGTTTATTTAATTTGTATGTATGTTCATGTGTATGTGTGAATGTGTTGTCTCTCTTTCAATTTTATATTATATATTACAGATACATATACAATTAATCAACTTGATTTATGCTACTAGCACACTAAGAAAAAGTTTCTCTTATTATTTTTCAATTAATTAATCAGATCATATTCTTTACATTCAATTAAAGTTCTCTGCTTTTTGATTGATGTGTTAATTTAATTTCTTTTTTTTATTTTTTAAATTTATAACTATACTTTTTTTTAATAGAATGTAGCTTAACCCTTGACTACAGTCACTGGTAGTATCAAAAGAATTATAATATCGCACCAATAAAATACTATTAGGAAGAAATTCGTGTTTTGTAAAAGAATATTTAAAAAAAAAAAGAAGAAACGTTTAAAAATAAATAGTAATTAAAATCTTAAATGTGTTCAAAAGAATGCATTAAACTGAAATTAATTTGTTATACACTTAATAATTATACATTCAAAATAAATACTTTTATATAATCTCACAAATAAAAATGATACCCTCAAATTATTGGAGTATTATTTATAATTTAAGAAGATGTTTAGTTAAATTGAAAACATTTTTAAGCGGTTCAATTTGTGCTGGTTCTACAGCGACTCTTGCACGATACATATATCTACAGTTATATTCACAAATATGAACAATCTCTCTCATTCATTGACTTTATTTTCTGATAAATTCTTTTTTTCTTTTAATCAAGAGTATATATACTCTTCAAATTCTTTTTAAAGAGATATTCATTTAACTTGTACCATTGTTTCCATTACGTCACTTCTTAAAATATGTATAATATTCAATATTTCGCTGTTTTATCTGTGATACGCACTAACCGGTAAATATATTAACTGTTAACTTAGAGAACAATATACAATTATGTATCAAGGTGACATGTAATAAAGAAAATTTATAGAAAAAATATAAAATATTAAGTAGTAAACGAATGTTATAATACTATCCTGTCTTTTGAAATTGTTACTTTCGTAATTAAAAGATATTATATTATATACAATGAATTTACTTTGATTATCTGATTTATACAGAATGTCTAAGGTTTTTCCAGTTAAACAGTGTCAACGTATTCTATGCACGAAAATAAAACAAACACATAGTTTGATTGGAAAAATCTTAGGTACTCTGTACGTATTCGTATTCGTATTCGTATTCGTAAATATTTTATAAACTGAAATAAAACAATTGTACTAACATATTATTATCTAATTGTAAATATAAATCACATATAAGACCTATCGTATATCAAAACTTCATTTTAATAATCTATTAATATCAAACTTGATTTGAGAAATGAAAATAATTAAGCAGGGCTCCGTAAAATTGTTCAAAAATATCAAACTTAAATAATTATAACCGGATCTATAAAGTAACTTAATTTCCACTGAACTTTTGGCACATTTTTCAAAATATTTTTTTAACCTGTAATAAATAATAATGATAATAATAATAATAATAATAATAAAAATAAAATAATTATTTGAAAATGTGACCTTTTTAAGCATTTTTTGTGATGTATAAAAAGCTTCCAAAATGATTTTTACATGGTAAAGTATATCCCATCAAGATGGATGATTTGTTGCTCCTAAAGTTAAAGACGTAATATCGCGAATGATCATTTCCGCTATTTTCCATGCTAATTCTTCTTTTGCCTGGATATGTTAAAAATAGATATTACAATAGTTTAATAATATATTTGTGTATATATTGTCTATCGCATACTAAAGTTTAACTCATGAATATTTATGCATAATAATTTTTACCTTATCTTGTTCCAAATTGACGAGTCTTTTAACAGCACGCGCTAATCGTGATTCTAAAAATTATTATTTATATTAATAATGAAAACGTTTCAATAGACCGATATAAAATTTACCATATTTTCTGCAAGGATCAGGTTCTATTTCTGTAATAAATCTACCCAAGTAATCGATGTAGCCAACGCTTAATCTGTATAATTAAAATAATAATACAATATAATATATAAAATCCAAATTTGAGAGATATTTTAATGATCGTATTGAAAATAAAAGATTTCAAATACAAACCTATATTTGTTACGTCTCCATAAAGAATCAGGATCGTAAAGTTGTCTTGTATCGATATTCATATTGTTGTGTGCACTTGTCTTCGTACTAGTATTAGCATTAGATAATATTCCATTGGTATTGTTCCCTGCCTGCAGGGTGCTTTGCATACTGTTGCTAATAGAACTCACTTCACTACTGCAGTCAGAACCTGATAAAAGTATAACATTCCTATAGTTATATCTAAATTTCACGTTTTACACTTATCTTTGTCTTGTTTTAAAAAATACTGATAATCTAATAGATAAGAAAAAAAAACACGATACCCGCTCTTTTTATTCGAAGTTGATAACTCGAACATGGATTGCTTTGAATGGTACTGATCAGTTCCGATAAGTATTTATAATACAACTGCGACGATAAAAAGGTAGGTAAATAGTGCTGAAATTAAAAAGTAACATTATAAAATAATAAATAAATTCATTTTTATATTTGTTATAATAATGAACGTGAAAATGGATATAATTAAAAATATACCTTATTGAGAAATTTATATACAATTTTACAAGGTTTATCAAAACAATCAGGTAATGGTCCCTCTCCGTCTTCGCGACAAATATTTTCTTCGACTTCAAAACGTATTTTATCGTTAAACCCAAGAGGCGTAGTTGCTTGCAAACTAAAATATCTGCAAACCAAATATATATATATATATGTTATACATTACTATATAATAATACATTATGAAATTATATTAAAAAATAAGAATTACTTGTCGTATATGATCAGAGCATCGGATTGTGCTTCCTCAGGATTAATCGGATCTTTCTTTTCCAAAAGATTTTGTTTAAAATTAATAGCAGCCATCCAAAAGTCTAAGAGCTCGCGTTTATTTTCGAGTTCCATGAACTGAAATAAAAAAAATATATGTAAATGTGTAATTGTTTAAAAAGTTATATTTACAAGATAGAATATATATGATAAAGATCATACCTCCATGAAATAAAAAAACGCAGTTTCATTATATAATATATCTCCTAACTGTACATTTCCGCTGGTGAGAACATCAATTTGATGTTTACAATGAAATTCACTTCTAAGGAAGTCATTAATATATCTGTAAAATTTTAACAATTATCGTGAATATTTTTGCATAATAATCTGCGATAAAATAAATTGTTTTTGTTTTTGTACTTACTCCTTTTCGATAACATCAAATATAATATTTTGAATATTAGATAGGCACCGTAATATAGGCTCTATGTTTTTACATTTAAGAGCGTTTTCTATATCTAGTTTTAGTTCCTCAGGAATTCTATTAGTACCTAATGTTTCTTTAATAATATATTTTTTATAAATCCTTAAAGCATCTTGCCTAGTATTTGTCATATCGCCTCCTCTATCATTCTCCAACTTGCGATTTAATTGTCGCATATCACTTAGCATCTCATTAATCTTTGGCGTGTCATTACAATTTGATTTAACATCGTTAGTATTTACAATTTCATTGTACAGTCCCTTTTCTCTAGCATCATTTTCAATATTACCTTGGAGCACGTTGCAATTAAAGTTATCATTATCGTCCAATGAATTAGACAAACTACTTGAATCCATAGTAGCAATAGTAGTATTAGTATTAGTAATAGTAGTAGTAGTAGTATTTGTAGTAGTAGTAGTAGCTGTACAATCATTCTTCAAATTAAAATTCTCTATATTTTCATCGCTGAGATGAAAGTTGGGAAATGATTCGCATAAACATTCAACTTCTAACCAAAACTTGATAAGAGCTATCGAATGTCTTGTATCCATAAATTGAATGAAATAACCTAGGGCATCCTTATCTGCAAGAATTTCTGGAAGCGTTTTAGAAAGTTGTGACCTGAACGGTCTTTTATTGTCTTTATCATCTTTAACGATTTCATCTTCCTCTTCCTCCTCAAGGCTGCACAGTGTACTTGATGGTATATAAATCGACGCACAATCATCACCATATTCATCTGCAAATGTCTTTCCTAATTGTGTTGATTTTGTTGGCGATGAGTGTAATAATCTGGGCCTGTCTCGTTGCCCTGCAAAAAGTAATAATGCATTAATATTATATTGATGAAAACATATCGTTCAATTAATAAAAGTTGATGAGAATATATTTTAAGGAATAGAAAATTAATAAAAAAAAACAAAACTATTAAATATTATACAATATTAATAATAACTTTATCTGAAGCATTTAAAAATAAAAATAAGAAGATTAAAAATACATTGTTTTGATCTAAGAGGTTATGTTTGTTAGATGCATTATTATCCCTTTCATAATATATTACGAAATAGATTAGAATTTTAAAAAGTGATATAATTACCAGGTTTCTTAAAAAATTGGAACATTTTTTACGTCAAAGAGTAACATGATAAACAACGCGATATGACGTACACTTAAAATAAAGAATATTTCGACTTTATTCAGAAATAACTTTCATTCACTACTTCGATAATCGCGTGTGCGTGTTTTTATTTCGAATTTGAATTCGATATTATTCGATTCGATTACACCTTATTTACAATTATTATTATTATTATAATAATTGTTATTAAACGTGAAATAAAATGAGTTTATTCGTTTTAAATTAAAAGAAAATATTCGTCGATCACATACATATGCAACGCACAACATCCGAAGGAACTGTCATTAGTGTCATCGTGAATCCGTTTACTAATTCTTGTTATATCGAATGAATGTGTGTGTGTATGAAAGAAAGAAAGAGAGAGAGAGAGAGAAAGAGAGAGAGAATGAAAGAGAAAGAGAGAAGATTAACACTTTCCTCCAAATTGTTTCGATTTTTTTTAACAAAAAAAAGTTCTTTTTTTACAGTAATTTATGTATCATTGATTTAAGAAAGTAAAAATAGATTTTGAAATATACAATTTTCTTAAATTTATTCGCGTAGTATACGCTCCTGACACTTCCGCGCGAATGCTATGATATACATACATATATATATATGACACACTGAAATTATTGTTCAGTATTTCACAATAGATATTCGTTTATTTTAATTATCCGATTTAATGAAACACAATATAACGTTTATTATTAATATTAATATTATATATATTTTAATATTTAATTATTCGATTTAATGTAACACACTATATAATGTTTTATTACTAATATATTAATATTGCAACTATTATTATAATAATTATTTTTGTTTTTAGATTAAAAATTTTTTTTTCATTTTTTACTTTATTGAAATATTAAAAAAAAATATATATATATAAATGAAAAGGAAAAGAAAATAAACCTCGTATAAATTTTCGTTGCACGTATTTCATCGTTCGAAGGACGAACGATTCATACAACACCTCTCCTTTTCGATACCCCATAACTATAGAAATAAAAGAGGATTCACGTTTGAGTTACTGGATCTAAAGTTCAAAGGAACAACGTTCATGTTCTCTGTGAAATGTCAAATATTTTCTCTACATCTAATGGCTATAACAATAAAAATGACGAGACGAAGAAGATTCATCATATAATTCTATTCATAGGATATCGAATTTTATGTGGGAGTGGATAACCTCTAATAATTTTCGTATTCCTATCTCGTAGTGTATGGCAAATAATGTATTCTCGATTCGAAGTTAATCTTGACGTATGCATTTGCATTTTTCGTGTTTAGAATACGAACTTTGTTTATATAGCTCGTTTAAAAAATAACGTAATAAATAAATAAATTAAATAAATGATGTAGACCGTACGTATGCGAACAACAACGTGTATGAAATACGTCATATTAAATAATAATATTAATAATAATTATTATTTGTAAAATGAAATTATTTTTATGATATAATTAATTAATAAAATTTATAATAAATCGTGCTTACATTTGTTTACCTTTCTTGAAATTAAATTACATGAACATGTTAGGAAACTTCGTAGAAATGCATATGGCGGCAAAATTTGAAAAATCGATACCTCGTTTAAAGAGAAATATTTAATTTATAAATTATAAGATTATCAAATATGATATTAGTGTACTTTAATTAATAATATATTTTAAAATTGATCGAATAATAATTTTAAAATATTGTACAAAATTATTCAAATTTTCGACCTTTCTAATTGGCTAATCCGTTAAATACGTGATAGATGGCGGGTTTTTTAAAAATCTTCTAAAAAAATTAAAACCCACAAGATGTATTACTCGTATCATTTAATAGCTAAATATTTACGTGATATTTTGAAACCTACTATAAAAAATAAGACGAAGTATACTCCGCAGGCATGTTTTTTAGCACTTACATATTCTACAAATCAGAAAATATTTAAATAAGTGCGTGGGTACGGTATTTTGAAACGTGTTATACCAAGAGGTATCACTAGAATATTTTAGTAGCTACACATATAAAAAAGTAAAAAAAACATATAAATAAAGAATACATATACACTAGACGTGCCTGAGGAGTATGATATTTTGAAACATACTATAGAAGATAAAACAGATGGACTCGACAAGGAAGAGGCCAATGTCCGGACACCGTAGTGAGAAGATATCGAGGAAGAGGCTACCGAAGAAGAGAAGAAGCCTTTGGGAAGGCTTTTGTGGAGGCCATCGAGGAGGTAACTTCTCTCGTGCGTTCAACCGCGAAAGGAATACCGGTTTTTCGTTCAGGAATAGAATATAGTAGTATAGTATTTACGTATGGGAGTAAGAGAAGGTGACCATCGCAGTCAGGACTCTGTTAGAACTTCGTGAACTTCCTCCAGTTCTTCCTTCGCTACTGCTACTTCTTCTTTTTCTTCTTCTTCTTCTTCTTCTTTTTAGTTTTTGCTGTTTCTCTTCTTTTTCTTTTACTTTATCATTTTTTTAGTTCAAACTATACTTCGCGTGTAATACATTTTTGAAAACGATTAGTGCCAAGAACGTTCTGATTAATTCTATGTGTTGTTAAGTTGCACATAAATAAGTAAAAAACAAACTGTGCACCACCATCATCATGTTGTTTGTCTTCTACACCGTCGTATTTGCTTTTCATATTTATCTACTTCTCAAAGTTGTACTTTCTGCACCTGTGAATTACGATCAACGACAAACTGGCGAGTTAAACGTGCGAATTGACTTGAAGGATCTGAAAGTACTAGCTTTTCTTGATTCTAAGATACTCGAAGATTACACGGTAAATTGAAATATCATTTAAAAGTGTTTTCTAAGATAAGATAAGATTTACTTTTTTCTTGGAGAGAGGGAAGATTTGATAAGAGAAAACAAATGACTGAGCATTTGAATAAAATTCTATTAAATTATATCTTTAGAAGCGAGTGTGTGTTGATTATAATGATTGAATATTTTGATTAAAAAATTATTTTCTTTTATTTTTAGGACTATGATTACTTTTACGATTTCGCTGATTTCACATCAAGACCAATTTCAAAGCCCACATCGGTCTCTACGGTTGAATCTTTGAATACCGAATCCACTAATGCACCTGCATTTTCTTCAACCATTAAAACTGATTCTACTGGAATTTCTTCTACAAATGATTCCATAATAACTACTTCAAAAAATGGACAATCAATTGAAGATGCAACTGCATCTACGATCGAAGAAGACAGAGTGATATCTTCGTCTAATAAAGAAGGTCTCCTTGAAACATCAAGGTTACCATTAAGAAAGAGAGCTCATTTAAAAATCCGATCGAATAATCGTCCCAAATTTGTATCTTCCAAATAATAAGGATATTACATTCTTATTTAAATGTTTGATTACTTTTTAAATTAATGTTTAAGTTAATGCAAATTTAACAATGTTAAATTAACAATAAAATAAATGTTACGTTAATCCTAAGTAAAGGAAAATTATACAATACAATATCCAATTAATATCATGATATTATTTATAATCAAATTTTCCACTGGAGATTATAATAAAAATGTGTCATAAAATAATTCTAAATAAATTCACGTATGAACAAAAATGATCCTTCCCCTTTCCTGATTCTTTGACGTTTAATGTTTAAGTAAAATATTGCAGAAGAGGGAGTCGTAAAATAAAAGTTAAAAATATTCTGACGATAAAACCAAACAAGTATAGAAGAAGAAGGTGCCCCACCTTTTCTCCTCTTTAAAAAAAAAAAGAAATGGTCAACGGTATACATGATCTGGAAGGACCAGTTGAATATTTCTTGAACGCTATACATTTCCTTTACCCTCTCCTATGATCATCATCATCATCACCACCATCATTATCGTCGATAGTTACAGAGAGCTCTCTGAGGAAGGTAAGCATCGTCCACAGTCGTCGATCGAACTTCGTACGAGCATCTTTGAAAGAATCAAGAAGAAATTGAAAAACAAGAATCTCAAAATCATAAGAATAATAAATAAACTGAAAAAAAAAAAAATGATTATTACGAGTCTATTAATATTATCATTGTCAATCGTATTGGAATGTAATTCAGCACCAACGATTTACGATCAAAAACAAAATGGTGAATTCAACGTTTATGGATCTTTAGACAATTTTATGTTTCTTTTAATTCCGAGTAAAACGTCAACGCCTAATATCGATTTAATTTCATTACTCGATTACAAATCAATGGCGAGACAATTGATCGGTAAGAAAAATAAGGAAAGTGAATTGGATGGGCCAATATTGTCGATAAGAAACGAGGAATTTGATGATAATATCAAAACTGGTAAACCTTATCAGGTTAATATAGTCAAGATTCCTAAAGATAAGGACAATAGTGGTGGTCAAGATTTGCAAGATTTGCCAAAGGAAGAATTGAAGAATTTCAAAAACGAAGCTAAAGTGACACAGGACCTTTACAATTCTCAATCTTTGTCCAAGGATTCTTTGAAAAAGGATGACGATAAAGAAAGGACACCTTCCGTTCATCAGGAATTGACTAACACGAAGGACAAACTTAAAGAAACTGCAGTAACAGATTCATTGATTGACTCACGTGTTTAGAATATTATAATTAATAATTATGTATTAAACTTCTGTTAGTTTTTGGGATTTGGGTCATGAATTGGAGACTTATTATTGTTGCAAAATAAAAGGGAGGAAGAGGGGTGGGTGGTAATGGTTAATCTTCAACGTTATTATACTTTTTTATAACTGTTGAACTCTCTTGGATGTAATAAATGTATCGTTTAATATAGAATTTAATATAAAAATATTATATGAGATGTATATATTATAATTTTCGATAAAATGTATGTAATTTAATATATATATATATATATATAACAAATAAATAAATAAAAAACAAATGCGTTGTCATATTTAAAATACAAAATATTTGCATGTTACATGTTTCTTATTTATCCATTTTGAAATTTTTTCAAATTTGTTGAAATATATTTTGAAATATTATAAAAAAAAGAAACTATTTGAAATAAATGATAAAAAAAAAACAAAATAGAATGAATAAATAAAAGGATGAATAATTTCGTGATATCCTTGTAAGAAATGTTGCAAAAGTTAAAGGTGAACTGCATTTCAGTTAGTTTTAAGAGACTCGTGTACACTTGCATGTGCACGAAGAACTTGTGCACGTGTGAGGAACGTGAGAGCAAGGGCAAGGTTACGGTAAGCAAAACCGGAAGAGATTGAACAAACTAACACACCAACACGCGAACACGAATACTCATACTCATACTACTCGATGGGGCCAAGTTAGGACATTGCCCTTTTGCAAATCGGATCTCGTTTATATCATTAAAGAAATGTTGTGATGATAACAGGTTGTGTTATTCATTGTAATTGCTTTACGAATTGATTTTAATATTGGCATCTGTTTAAATATTAAATAAAAGTAGAAAATAAATACCTTGAATAGGGAGGAGGGGGGGGAATAATTTATAAGAGTTCGAGACGTTCGATTCTAACGGGGTTCGATACTTTTTTGTTATCTCAACTATTAATCAGTTATAATAGAGCTTATTAAAATCCTGTCTTGGAAATATATTCAATTTATTTTTCTTATCAATTAACGAATCCGTTAATTTATACGATCAACTGAATATGATTGAAATAAAATATTATTTTCAATTCTTTGTAAATAGCATCTAATGTTTGTAAACAATTTGTATCATAATCATACGGATTTAACGATACTATCCAAAAATTTCCTAAGTTGAAACAAATAATTAATTAAATATAATATTATAAAAATAATGAAACCAAAATCTTAAATTACGATACGCGATAATTAGATAAATTATATCTTAACATTTAAATATTTTCATTCTATAAAACATATATTCCTCGTTGTATACAATATTTGTGTTTCTATTTAAAAATCTTGGTAAAAATAAAAAGAATGTGTATGTGTGTGTGTGTGTGTGTGTACGTAAAAGTTGATATTCGGTTCTTCGACAGGTTCTTGAACTTGTCCAGTGTGGTCAAAGTATCCAGGTGGGGAGCAGGTATCTTTTCCTGGTTGATTCTACTAACGGAGGTCATAAAACGTTCGTCCTCCGTATCGTCAAGACTCATCCTATTCTCATCTACTTGTTCTCCTTTTATTTTTTAAATCCTTATTAAAATATATATATATTTATAATAATTTTTCTTCTCAAACACCAGTGCGTAATCAATGTTTTCAATAAATATGAGATTGTTCAAGACAACGATCTTCTTATTTTTACTGTTTGCATTTGTTGGGACTCACGTAAAGTGTCTTCCACTTGATGAATCCGAAATTACATCACCGACGAAAATTCCTTCTTCTTCTTCTTTATCTTCTTCTGAAGATCATTACGATCAAAGGCAAAATGGTACAGAAAATTATCGTGTACACATTGATGGTGTAGTCATAGTAGTTGCACCAGTTGAAGCACTTCTTATGGCTAATGATCTTATTAATACCAATCAATCTGGAATATCAACGATTCCATCCACAATTAATTATCCAAAACCCGATGATAATAAACCAAATATTGAACATTCGGAAAAACCGAGTAATGAAAATTTGGAAAAACCAAGTACCGAACATTTGGAGGAACCTAACACCGAACATCAATCGTTGGACAAATTAAATATCTCTTCTAAATCAACAAAAAGGTATTTCATACATATATATATTTTTTGTTTCGTAAATTCATTGCATAATGTCTTTGTATTTTCTTCATTTCATTTTGCAGATCTAATTTACGTTTAATGAACTTACTTGCACCCTTCATACGCCGTTTTTATCACCCACAATGAGTCCAAAACTTGGCTCGGGAAAAAACAAACCACACATTTCAAGACTTATATTTAGTGTAATGTAATATAAAACATGTGATTGATATAATTTCATTAATTATAGTTTATATAATTATTATGCATATATAAATATATATTATTTTAAAAAAAGGGTTTTTTTTTTTTTTTAATTAGGCCTTCGTTAAATGGAACTTGAATTAAATTAGGGGGAGCAAAGAAGCACGTTTGTAATACTATATTTTTAGTATATAATTATAATATTATTATTATAATATTATCTGCAAATGATTTTGTGAACAGACCATGTACTCACCTTTATTTATAATTCTAAAATTATTATTATTACTATTATTATTATTATTATTATTATTATTATTACTATAATTATTATTATTATTACTATTATATTGTTATTATAATTACTATTATTATTACAATATTTATTCTTATTTTCAATGAATTTTATATATATATATATATTTATATTTATATTTGATTAAAAATTAAAATACATTATCCATGATTTTTGTTCTCCTCTTATGTCTCGTTTTTTATTTTATTTTTTTTCTTCTTCTTCCTCTTCCTCCTCCTTCTTTTGTTATTTTTTAATTTTTTGGTATACGATCACAATACTTTTTTTTGTATAAAAAATGCCTTAAAGACTATATCATGTTCCTTTGCATGTAATACGTACAATTTTTTTTAATGTATCTTTTTTTTTTTTGTTTATTGGGTGGAATCATTTGCTTGTATTATGTTTTTGTCTGTGTATTTGTGTGTGTATGAGTTAGTGTATTTTTTTTGTAGGTGTGTTGTTGACGTATACAAGAATACATTTTCAAATATAATATTGCAATTCTAATATTGTAATATATATAACAGGGTTAAATATTTCGTTTTTTTTTTTGTAGTCTGATTATATTGTTCATCGTTTAAACATTGTTCATTCTAAGAAATATTCATTTTTTTTTTTTTACGTCACGACACGATCAAATGAAATTCCAATTGACTATTAATTATTAATTATTATTATTTTTTTTTTTAAACACATTCTCATAAGACACAAATATTTTATATCAACACATTAAAAATCTTCAAGAATTTTACATATTTTTATTTTTTATTTTTTGTTTCCTTTCCCTGTTTTATTATTCGATAATAATTTACTTCGATAATTGTTCGTTTTATTTCATAATAATAATAATAATAATAATAATAATAATAATAATAATAATAATATTGTAAAACTAATGTGTACCCTGTGTTCTCGACTTTGGAAAACATTATGTATATACAGGGTGTTCTGTAATTGGTGGTACGAGTCAACAGGGGGATGATTTTACATGAACGAACAAAACTGTAAATGTGGCATTTAATTTGTTCATATACAAGGATATTTGATTTTCAGGGTTTCATTTATGTTTCATTTACAAAACACCCCGTATATATGTATGTATATATATTAATTAATTTATTTTTTTTTCGAATACTTTCATATAGAACAAAAAGGATTTTTAATGGTGGATCCAATTTTGTTTTTTTATGAATTTTCCTCTTATTTGTTTGATTTTTTTTTTTTTTAATAAATCTTTTATCTTATTTTTTTTTTTTTATAATAATTATTATTTATGTTTTCTACGTCCTCGTGCAAGAATCGTCGATTATGCGAGGTTACAACGTCTTCTTTGGAACTTTATTATTTTTCAATAAAATATTTACTCGAATTTGAGGAATACACCGGTGGTATTGCTAAAAAATACTAGATAAATATACGTAGATACAATTATTTTGAATTTTTTTTTTGTTTTTTTTTTTTTTTATCTTCTACAGAAAGAATACTTTTACGAAAAGATAATAAGATATCCTATATTTTCATTCATTTAATCTAAAAGATTTGAATGTTTAATTTTAATGCTAATATTTTGAAGAATTTTGTTTCTTTTATCGATTTATGTTTGTTCATTCTTTTTTTTTTTGGCTTGTAATTTCATTATTTTTCAATTATTTGTTTACTATATACAAGATATTTTCTTATAATGAAACACAGTATATTTAATAATTATGAGAACGTCGATACGAAAAAGAAAATGATAGGAAGGAAAAAAAAAGGAAAAAAGAAAGAAAGAAAGAAAGAAAGAAAAAAAAAAAGAAAAATGATACGAACTGTACAAAAGTTTATACAAGCATGTATAGTCTCGTCAATAAAATGGTTCCATTTCACGTGACATTTGTATTTTTCATTATAGTCATGGATTTAATTGCATCGTGACATATTTCATGAGATTATATTTTGCAAATAAATTTTTTACTACGTGAAAAAATATTACAGTCTCTTTTTTAATAACAGAAAACAAAAAAGATCAGTCGAATAAATATTTAGAAATATTTTACGATTAAATTTGATGTCACGCGAAGTGGAACACTTTTAAGTAGATAATTTTCTTTTACATGGCAATTACATATTAATAAATTATGACAATCGAATATACACGACGTTGTCTAATATTCTCGTATACAAGAAAAAAGAAAATTCTATATATAAAAGAAGAAAAAAAATACAATAAAAGTACAGATAAATAATACATAGTTAACATTAAAAAATATAACATCGTCCAGAATTGTAGTTGTTCTTGTTGTTGTAAATTATCGAGAGAAAAAAAAAAAGTATTTTGAAATACTTGAAAATTAAACAGAAGAGATTTGGGCTTCTTCGTTAGCGTTGAGATCTTCAGCACAGTTTTTAGCATCCGGTGAGCCAATATTATTAGCGTCTGCGGACTCATCATCAAATTTTAATTCCTCCTTAACCGCCTATAGAGGAATTATTCCGTTTGACATCTTTTTTTTGTTTGTTTTGTTTTTATTTTTATATTGATTGATTGTTTTTATTTTTGTATATATATATATTATATATATTGTTATTTTTTTTTTTTTTAATAAGGCAATCGTCCGTTTTAAGATAAAAGAAAGAAAAAAAAGGTATGGCAACGATGTTAGTAGCGTTTTACATATATTTATCGATTATTTCATCGGCAATTACCTCCTTGATAAGTAGACGACAATTTTCCACAACGCTACGTTTTCTATCTGGCACATTGCATAAAATATCTTCCGATTGATAGGTACCATCTATGATCTTACGTAGCTCGTTTAATTCGGTCAAGGCAACTTCTAATCTTGTTTCAAAATCACATCTGTAAATATCAATTTTTACGTTATATTTTTGAAAGAAAACAAAAACAAACAATGATGTATTAAAAAGAGAGAGAGAGAGAGAGAGAGAGAAAAAAGGAAAAACCAAAATATGATACATAATCAATAAATTGTCTGTTTGTTTGAGCAAACAAAAGAGATATTATAACAACTCTTTATCAAAATTATTTCAAAGCACTTATGATATCAAATATCGTTCAATCAAGAAAATAAATTCGTGCCGTTTTAATCGATAAACGTAAATATCCTACAAAACTGATTGTTAATTTGTTATTTTATTATGCTATCACTATTCTAGAAATTTGTAAATTCCTATAATTAGTTAGATATATATATATATATATATATANTATATATATATATATATATATATATAAAATTATAATAACATTCTTTGATTTGCTCATTATACAAAATTCATACAACAATTTCACATATACTTACTTTTCTTCTTTTAATTCTTGTATACAAGTATCATTTTCAAGCTGTATTATCCGCAATACTTTTAAAAGTTTAGTTACAAGATTATCAACATCTATTACTTGATCAACAAGGCTTACTGCAGGACAATAATCCGTTAATGGAAGAGGTCCTTCATTGGTCCCAGTGTCTGATTCACTTATAGATTCACATTCGTCTTCTTCCTCATCTTGTACCTATAAACAAATTATTCTCATTTAATTATTACAAATATTGAAATATATATATTTAACAATTATTTTCATTTAACTCCTTGAGTACTGAATTATTTGAAGATTTTTATGCATATATAACAGATGTAATTTGTTGATAAATGAATTAATATGTAAAATTAATACATTTTATTTGAAATATATTTATATTGGTGATATTCAACAACATTTCAATTGCAAAATATAAATAAATATATAAATGAAACAAAATAGAAATATTTATATATTTATATAAGCTTCTTAAATTCAAATGACGAGTCTCATTCGTCAAATGTACCCAAAAAGTTGATTTATTATCTCCCCCCTTTAAAAAGATTGAACAATTTTATACAACTTACTTTTCTACGATGTAATATCGCTTGCGTGAGATTCGTCAGGCTCGTACACTCGTCTAATGTTTTACTTTTTTTAATATTATTTTCATCGACTGTTTCGGGAAAGCTTAAAGCTCTACGAAGCGAGTCGCTGCTAGAGATCATATTATGCGAATAAGTATCAGGTAAAGTAACATCCTCTAATACACTTTCCATCATCAGACACGGTTCAGTTTCAAAATCAAGTAAATCGGAAGACGAATCCATACTTATGTCTATATAATAAGTCAAATATAATAAGAAATACATATATTACAATATAATTAAATGTTACAAATGATACTAAAAGATTATACAGTATAACAATACCCATAAGTTCAGTATTCCATGAATATGTATATATATATATATATATACCTTTGTACATTTGTTTGGTGGCCGATTCCAAAGAAGATTTTTTATCCACAGTTTTGGTTACAAAAGGATGAGTAGCAGCGTTACGGATAGCACCGATAACTGCGGAAACGAAGGAACCACTTTTTGGACTAGGAGTGCATTCTTTCAAGCTATGCTTAGAACTAACCGGACTGGATTCCATGCTACTGTTGCTTCGACTGTATGCTTCGTTATGATAGATCACATCCTTTAAAATAGGTCCTTTTAAAATCTCCTTACTTAACACGTACATCGTATATTCGACGAATTTTTTAATAATGTATATATATATAAGTATCATAAAAAAAAAGAAAAAAAGAAAAAACTAACTCCAAAAATCAATCAATCAAATCAAATCAAACAAAGGAATAAATATTACCTCCAAATCCTTAACTGAAATATTGTAAGAAGTTATTAACTGATCTACCAATCCTTCCAATCGCGTGCCAAGACCAGAAAGGGCCACTGCTGCACCGGAAATAGTTGCACCTTGGGTAAGCAACAATTCTCTACCTTTTCGTTCGACTGCATTCAATTTCATGTTCAATGATAAATTTTCTTGCCTGTGTCCAGAAATGTTATAAATATATATATATATATTAAAAATATACGACGATTCGTATGTAATGTTAGATGATTATTATCATTTACGCTATTTACACCTCGTAATAATAGCATACCTTCTCTGTTCACTGATTCGAACTAAATGTTTGCATTCCTCTGTCTGCCTTTCCAATTCTGCTTCGCGTTGAATCAAAGCTACTTCTTTCTTCTTGAGCTAAATAATATTAATAATATTGTGTTACTGTGTTCAAAAGTTTATTAGAAGTATATGAAAACTTCTTTTTTTATTATTACAATTGTAATACCTCAGTTTCGGCATCCTTTAATGCATCGGCCAGAGTAGTTTTTTCTTGTTGAAGAAAATCTTGCATTTCTGCTGATTCCGCTTCTAATTCTTGCTGTTGTTGTAACAATGCTTTTTGTGCTGCTAAACTCTTGTCCAAATCCTGACAAATATATTAAATATTATTTAATAAGATGTATATGTATAAACTATTCATTCAAATTTGAATGATAGTAATTTTTTACCCTGCTAAGCATACGACAAAGTGATTGCAAGTCGGCTATTTCGACTTGTTGATTTGCTACAACTTGTCCCGATGATTGCAAATGTGACTCCAATTCTAAAAAGCTGTCGCTACCCTCTGAAACGATACATTCATTTTGTTTTATATTATCCTACTACTTGTATGAATAAAATCGTATATTAAAAAAGAATTATTTTTACCCGCGTGTTCCGATTGTGGTGTTCCTAACATCGCCAATACCCTTCTAGCATTTCTGTCTAATTCTTGCCTAGCAAAAGCATGGTCAGCTTGTTCCTCTTCTAAAAGACGTTTAACTTCAGTTAACTCCGTTTTGAGTTTTTCATTTTCTTCCTTTTTCGCGTTAACATCCTCATTCAAACGTTTCAAATCATTCTGCATGGTCTGCATGTCCTCCCAAGTTCCATCAGTTTGAACATTTTTGTGTAAACGTTCTATTATTTCAGGTCCTGGTATTGCACTGGGTATTCCAGATAATGCATTGTCAATATCGTTACCAGTAAGACCCGTTTGTATGCCGATTTCATGATAAATCCTTGTTTTTTCTATGGGTTTATTTCTAGGATAAGGTGGTAAACTTTTGTGAACGAAATCTCTAGTATTATTAATAGTCTTTTTATCTGGTTGTCTACCAAGACTACCATCCCTGCTACCAGATCTGCTCCTAATCGTTTTATCATTAGTTTTTTCATTTGTTTTAGCAATAGTCATTTTGGTCTTATTCCTACGTGGTAACGTTGCATAAGCATCTAACGCCTTGTTATCCAAACTTACGGTTATCTTATCAAGACGATTATTTTTCGTTGGTTGTTCGGTTCTACCAGAATTATACAAAGTACGCGACGCTGTCAATGGTTTACGCGTTTCCTCGGATGGCGTAGAACCTGGTGTACGCGTAATCCTAGTACTAGAACCACCTCGTGATCTTGAACCACTATTAGTACCTCTACCACGTTGAGCAAGATCCTTATTAATTTCTGTAGTCAATACGGATGGCAGTGAGTCAGGTGGTATTGGTCTTGTTCTCGTTCTTTGCGATGTCGAATTAGTGGTAGAACGAAAATTTGAAGTGTTACGTGTATTTCCTCCTGACGTAACTGAATCACAATTTGATTCTCTTGCCGTTGACTTGTCCCTAGATCTTGCACGATCTCTTACAACCGGTTGCACCTTGTTAAGAATATTTCTAGGTGTTGCGACCCTTGGTTTAGAACGTGGTGTAGTTGGTACGTAATTAGCGTTCAACAATGCTGGTTTAATCCGACTAGTTTTTGGGGTCTCACAATTGACTGCCTTTTTCTTACTCGAACTTGACACTGATGAGGTTCTTTTAATGTTACTACTACGATTTCCTCTAGCCGATACGCTACCAGCTATTGATGAACTTTCGCTACCACCTTCACTCGTACCTTCACCACCTGTTGTTAATCTTACGTCGTCTGGAAGCGTTGCACATGGGTCTTCGTATACAGAACAACAACTAACTAAACTCGAATCACACGATGCTTCATCCAAACCTCCACAACTGCTGGCATAGTCTATACTGTTTCGGCTACGTACCTGAAAATGATAAACAAATTATATTATATTTTTATTTTGTACAACATTTTCAATTGATACAATTTGTAATATTAAAAATCAATGAAAGTACGTGAACAATTAAACTTACTCTTGGAACTTCAGTTGCACAACCCTCAACTCCACTATCACTACCATCTTTGCTATCCTTGCTCTCCCCAGTATATTCTTTTCTATCAACAGTAGCCAATGACGTTGACGATGATCGATCCTCTTCCTTATTACGAGTTTCCGATTCCGTAACGTGAATTACGGTAATGTTACAGTCACTGTTCATAGTACCATTTGGGTCCTCATCGTCCAACGACTTGTTAATATCACAAACCGGTGAAACAAGATCCTCTGGTACTCCCGAATCTTGTCGTGCCACATTTTGCATTGGCAATACTTTCAAATTGTTGTCCTCGACTTGTGGTACTTCCATATCGAGCTCTTGCTCGATTACCGTCGATGAATCATTCATATCGTCCTTGCCATTCTGAACAAAAATATATTCGTCAAATATTAAATTAATCCATTTATTAATCAACATATCATTCGATGTAGTAATATGTTTCATTTATTATTATTAATATACTTTATTATCAATTTTATTCAAATATATATATATATATATATATATATATATATATATATGTATGATTGTGTTCAGAAGGGTCTACATATATAACATCCGTCGTAACGTGTAATAGTATTTCCGTAGATTTTAAATCTGTTTAAAAACGATCAAGCGTGACATGATGTAAGTCAAGCAGGATATGTTACGACCGCAAACTTACTTATCTACATATATATACCTTTAGATAATTTTAAATTATTATAATTTAATTATTATAATTTATATTATAATAATATATTTAATAAATATTATAATTATAATATTTAATAAATTTTCAATTATTATACGATATTTATTATTTAAATTATTATATAATATAATATAATTTAAAATTAATATAATTAAAAATTATATTATATTATATTTATTAAATTATTTATATAAATATTAAAAATCGTATAATAATTTAAAATTAGTCAAAAGTAATTTTTTATAGCAACTTTATTAAATATTTTAAATATTTTTTTTTTTATTATCACATAAGATAAGAAATGAATAAATAAATATAAAAATGATTGAAATGAAAACGTGAAAAGTAATTTGATAAACAAAATCGATAAGAGCCAATTTCCCTATACCGGATTTTGTCAATTTTACTGTAATCGGAAAGATATTCGATTATCTGGACCAATTTCCGAAATTTGTAGATGGACAGATAGACAGAAAGAGAAAACTAGAAAAAGAAACATAAAAGAAAGTTAAATTAATGGGAATTCTTATCTTGATCGCATATTTTAAATGAAAAACATAAATCAATTACACGGTTAATTTAATTGTCCAACATTTCCAATAATTCTCGAACTGTAATTTAAATACTACCGTGAAATCAACATTACGAAATTAATTTAAAAGAAAGAGTATTAATATTCTAACATTGAGAATACAACAACAAAAATTCCACATGTTTCAAAACACCCTATGTATATATTTAACACTAGATATGCCACCATTTTTTACCACACTAGTCAAAATGACTGGTGTATACAAAAAAAAATGCTTTTTGAGACTTGCAGTCTTTATTTACTCTTAAAAAATAACAAAAAATGTTTAACAATAATAATTTTAATAAATAAATGGATTTATAGACATTTTTAAATAAACAAAACGCTTAATTATTTACAAAAATCAAATGGTTACATGAAGTAGACATTTTGAATTAAAATGGCTGATCTGGTATATCTAATGTTAAGAACTCGAAAGTTCATTGCCATAAATACAAAATTCATAAATAAAATTAATGTTAGGATTAAATCGAAATGAAAATTGATATGATATAATCGATAACAAATGATAGTAAAATTCATTATGTTAGAAATTATGGTTATAGTTAGTTAGGCTTGCAAAAATGACTGGTCTGGTATATCTAATGTTAATGTTTATTATTAACTATACGCATTTAATATTTTCAATATTAATATAATTAATTGTCCGTAAAATTACTTTGACTTTTTATAATTGAAGTTTCTCTCTTTATTTTGAATCCTAAGTTTTTATTAATCATCATCAAAAGATAGTTAAAACATTATCCTTATCTTTATCTTTTAAGATGACCTCGATCGTTATTCGATATTTAAACTATAGACTTGTTGGTTACTTGCGTAATTTAAAGTGGCACAATCATTAAAAAAAAAACTCTCATTTTTATATAAAATTAATAATCCTTTCTAAGTATCTCACATTTGTATCAAATTACGAACAAGTTTTTCGTGTAATGTATTTTTAATCGTATTATATATGTATATAATGAATGTAATGTGTATTTCTAATATTATGCAAGATCTATGAGATAAATAAGATCTATTAGATCTATAAGAGATCAATATACTAAATAAGATCGAATATCATAAATTACGTGACATCGATCAAATCGCGATATTATGTTCATTTTTGATTTATATCAATGATAATATTAATTGTTAATCATACACAATGACATTGAAAATAATCGAATGAGTAGCGTCATCGTTTGTGAGTATAATAATACAGTGTGATTCCCCCCCATTATTTTATTTTTTATTTAGAAATTAAAGAAGAAAAGAGACGTACGTGATATCATGACAATTTTCTTTCACCTTATCTCATCGATATGTTGTCTCGAGTACACCACACACATTTTGTATCGATGATAAAGCATATTTTTATATTTATCATCATATTTCTACCTACGCAAAGTATATATATATATATATATATATATATATATATATATATATATTGATTATCTGCTCAATGTATATGCGTATGTGTATCAGATATTTTTTTGTGTAACAGTATTTTTTTTTTGTTTTTTAAATAAATAATAAAAAAAAAAAAAAGAAAAATATTCTATGTAACATAATCATCTTGCTCGATCGTGAAAAGAAAAAAAAAAGAGAAATGATTATGTGAATAGGAATGATAAACGAGAGTGTAAAATGCAAGCTTGGCAATGAGAACTAGAAAAAGAGAGAAAGAAAAAAAAGAAACAAGAAATGGTAGAAGGGGGAGAACGAATAGAAGAAACGTGAAGGTCTTGGGAAGTCCCGAAAACTATAATGGTCAGTAAATCGGTAAAGAACCTCGAGATATTTAACATACCATTCGTATATGTTAATACATGTAAATATATGTATATGTATGTATGATGATTTTGTATTTATGAGTTGATTATAATTGTCTTACAGAAAACATAACAAACATAATTATTATATATATTATTCTTTTGTTAAATAGTAAAATAGTAAAATAGTAAAATAGTAAAATAGTAAAATAGTAAATTGCAATAATTATATTTAATTGTCATTGTAATTATTATTCTTTTATTTTACAAACACGAGTGACTCAAATAATTATTTATAACATTAAGGGAAACGTGACATCAAAGTTAATATAATCTTTTGTTAAATAGTAAAATAGTGAAATAGTAAAATAGTATAATTATCTTTATAATTATAATTAATAATTATAATTAATTATATTTTAATAATATATATAAAATAATTATAATTGATATTATATTTAATTATCATTGTAATTATTATTTTTTTATTTTACAAACACGAGTGACTAAAATAATTATTTATAACATTAAGGGGAACGTGAAATCAAAGTTAACATAAACCCAAAAAAAAACATAAAATAAAAAATAAAAAAATATCTTAAGTTTCTTTTTCTATCTCTCGGAGTTGAGAAATAATACTGGGGAAGCACCAACTCATCGTAGTATTATGACTGTATATAAAGTATAGTATATACACGTGATTCCAATTATTAGTTTGTGTAAGTGTGCGCGCACGCGCTTGTGTGTATGATATCCGTGAATCCAAGGTTCGAAAGCACACGTTTGTGTGTGTCGATCAACGAGCTTGCTTTGACATAAGAGATCTATCGATTGCTTGTAAATGTATATACAT